TGGGGGAGCATCGCCCCCGACCCCCCTAGAGGATGTTAGGTCCAGGAAACGCCCCTGACACTGACCCTAGCCAAATGCAAAAGATGAGGAAGGCGAAAAATGTCAGTGGCCTTCACCTCGAAAACCATTCCTGTTTTGGGGGTCATCTCATTGTTGCCCCTTTAGTGCACCAGCTGTTAATTTAATTAATACCAAAGCAGCTGAAACGGATTAACAACCCCCTCTCCTACTTAACTGACCTGATCAATGCCTCAGAAGTGTAATTGACTCGATGCTACACTCCGATTAAAAGTGTTCCTTTATTTTTTTGAGCAGTTTAGACAGGTTAAGTTACTTTAAGGATTCAGATTAAAACTGTATCATGTATTATCAGAGGAAGGATAAAAACGTATTGATCCCTAAAAATACACAAGGCTCCCAGCAGTATATAAACTAATACAAAATAACTCCTCTTTTACTCACGGCTACATTAATGATAACATTCATGCATCAATAATTATAATACAGTAATATAATATAGTTCTGCAGAGTGAGTACCTTTACCTCTGGTATATCTCGATACTAAATAACATTTTGATTGCTAGATGACATTGCTACAGGGTTTTGTAAACTGTGGATTTAGGACAGTAATTACTTCATGCTCTGCCTACATTATAATTCCTACTGTTCCTGAACCTTCTTTACACTCCTATCTGAGAGGCTTTTATGTTTGTGCTAATTTTATTCCATAAATAAACCACTTTGCAATTACTAACAAATAATTTATCATCACATGTGCGAGCAGAACCTGCAAAGTCAAAGAAGGGGTTCAACTAACAAATTAGCAAGGCCATTTTTCACAACAATGCCCATCAAATAACTTTAATAAAATCAGTGCTTTCTATATGTGCAAAATGCAGTAGGCAGCATATGTAACTAATACAAAATTCTGCTTAAATTGTGTATAACTATACAAATAATAGCATTTAACCTCTTGTGTAAAAGCTTGTATATTAGATATACACTCATAAATAATCAAAACTATTTAATAAATACATATTGACAGTATGGTGTTCCCCCTGCTCAGTTAGTTCACACTTTAAAGCCTTTACCAAAACTAAACCAATGGTAGGTTACAGCCCTTCCATGACTGAAGTGTGTTAATGTTTATTCATCTGAGAAAATCATGGAAAGCCTAACGCTACGAGATGGGAGATTGTCTTTCTTGTAAAGGGACCTGACCCCCAGAGAATAATAAACACTCTGGAAATATCCCAGTCCATAAAATCCCTGTCATAACGTCCCGACAGCCTCAGTGAGGTGTGAACTGTATCCTTATGATGGGAATAGAAACACTCGATCCTCCACCCTCCCCTCCCCTTTCAGCACCATCCTGTCTGCATACACAGAGACGGTGCTGAAGGCATCGCTGTCAGGGGGGGTCTCGATCACCCCGTCTATCGTCACGTGGTGTACGCCCGTGTCTTTATCCTGACAGTACCCCCCGTCGTGGCTGTGTCCGGCCATGTAACACACCACGCTGCTGTGGGCCCGGATGACGGCCAGCAGCTCCTCGTAGTTCCAGGCCAGGCAGATGGGGTCTGTGGAGCCGGGGTGCACAGGGACGTGACCTGGACAACAAAACAAGGTTGGATTTCACAGCGGCACTTCCAGATCAGCAGTTGATGTACACAATGTATTTCATAGACTGCTGCAACTCAATTTCCTTTTGATTCATCTAATCACAGTGGCGCCAGGATGTCTGAAATGAGGCTTTGCAGTTCTGGAAGCAGAGGCTTCTGTTACCATCCCCTTGAAGAATACATGAGGACAGTGGTTCCCAACCTTTTCGGTCTCGTGTACCCCTTGAGCTCGTTACCATTCTATAAAAACCACCTCAATTATCTGTGATGATTCGCCTACATTTTTTTCTTGTATTTAATCCAACTGCTCCTTAGATGACACAGTGTTTCCCATACATCGATTCATTTGTGGCAGGCCGCCACAATTAAATATCGTCCGCCACAAATAGATCTCATAGATCTTTTTTTGTAAATTGTAAATTATATTTTTGGGAGAATAAACCCCACAGCTCCTCAACTCCGGTGTGTCTCGCTCATTAACAATGCAACACAGAGCAACAAGACCGTTGTCTGCTACACATTTTTGATGTGGAAATAAAATGAAAACCCTAATCTCTCTTCAGGCGCTTCAGGATGGGGGGTGCCCATTTAAGAACCCCAAATGTGTGAGTATGAGTGTGCTGCTCTATGTGTACAAGCTAAAGAAGTCCCCAGGCTGTGGAGATTGTAAACCATCTTACAGCTGCAGTCTGTCACAAGCTGCTCCTCTGAGTGCAGGACAACACTGGAGTGGATTCACCTTACATATTAAATGACTCCACTTATAATATATATATATATATATATTTAATAACTAATGCACTGTAGGGGCGACAGTTTTAACTTACTGACGATTGTAACTCTGTCTCTTTTGTCATCAGAGGCGGTCAGAAGAGCATGCAGCCAGTCCAGCTGCTCCTGACCGAAGCCCCCGTTGAACATGGTGAACCTCCGCTGCAGCCCTTCCAAAACTGAAAACAACACGACATCTGAAAATCACTCTTTACTTGAAGAAATACTCAGATATTTTACTTAAGTACAAGACGAAACACTACAATGTAAAAGTACTGTGCTACAAGTAAAATTCCTGCATTTAAAATGTTACATAAGTAAAAGTACAATAATATCGGCATTCAAATATGCTTGAAGTTCCAAAAGTATATAAGTACTTAATCTGCGTAATGTCCCATTTTAGAATAATTGATATTACATGAATATATTTTTATTTATTTTTGCAATAATGTGTTCATCACAGCTGGTGAATGTAGAGCTACTTTTATAACTTGATATACTATTGCTGGATATTTTACTAATAACTATAGCAGAGTTTATTTCTTAGTTTATTTATATGTGCTAATATTCTGAATCTGTAAAGTAGGCCTAACTAGTAACTCATTTTGTCAAATGAATGAGTAAAAAGTACAATATTGCCATCCAAATTGTAGTGGAACAGTAGTATAAAGTAGCATCACTTAAAAATACTCGAGTACCCCAGAATCGTGCAAAACTTGAGTAAATGTACTTCACTATAGCAGCACTGCTCTTCACACCAGTCACCCTGCTGTCTGGGACGTGGCTTAAGACGTGAATAAATACATTTGAATGATCAGCACTAGGGTGATCCACAAATCACATCACATCTCTGCCCGCTGTGCCTGGGGGGTGTACCTGGGGGGCAGTTCAGGTCGTCGTTGTTGTTGTAGAGTTTTATCAGATCCATAGCCTGGCCGTACTGCTCACTGGACGGCTCCCTGCCCAGCAGGCTCACATCATAGGCGTCCAGCACGACAAACGTGAATCCGGGGGCCGGGCTGAAGCTGTAGGCGTAGACGTCCCCGCTCAGGTCCAGGTCCCTGTGCAGCGCGCTGCTGTTGAGTCGTGAACGCAGCAGCGCGCTCCTGCTGAAGTTATAGAACTCGTGGTTGCCCCACACATGGTGGACCTCCGCGGGCCCGGAGAACTCCCTCAGCACGGTGTCAAGGGCCCGCTCAGACGCGCCGTGGCCCTTGTTGAAGCCGTCGATAATGTCTCCCAGCTGGAGGATAAACTCGGGTCTGACAGCGGACTCTGCCCAACTCCTCTGGGCGTTCTTTAGCAGCTGTAGGCTGCTCCGGTAGAACCGCTTGCGCGTCCGGCTGTAGTTGAACCCGTCCTCTAGGTCCGCGTACTGAATGTCTGCTATCACTCCGAATGTGAACAGCGGAGTGGAAGGACAGCCGTCCATGGTCGATGTGTGAGTGCCGACACAGCATACACTACCCGCTTTAATGAAATGCAGACAGGTTCAATGTCCTGTTTGGTCACACGATAGCAGGAACTTTTCCCCCTTCTTCTCTCGGATTCTCTAAAACTATGAGGTTTATTGGCGGTTGTCAACCACCACGAATAGGTACATTACCGCCACCTATTGGACTGGAGTGTGGATCATTAGATTGGCAGGATCAGAATAAATGAAAAAAACATAGGAAAAAACACTACATTCTCTCTATAATTCTGGTTGCCTTTTAGATTTGTTTTGAACAGGCTGAATACTTTGTCTGATGATCTTTCCTAGCAGATTCCCCAAGGTAAGGCTGAGCTTTTTCATCAGCTAAACCTGAAAACTAACACTCTTCTCTCATCTTCATCCTTGTGGCAGTCTATTACAGGGTTCTTACACCTTTTCCAAAATCAAATTCAAGCACTTTTCAAGCATTTTCAAGGTGCATTTTCAAGCTTTTCAAGCATCTTACAGCTGTTGTAAATACTTATACTCAAATTATTATTTCCGTACCTCACATTAAATCAGATGTTCTTTATGCTGTAAACAACCAAATGTGTGTTTCGTAATAGCATTCTACATGAGAATGGAAAATTAAAGAAAATAACTAAGTTTAATATTTCACAATGATTGACCCATAAGTAGACTGGGCATCCCATATAACCTGGCTGAGCCGATATACAACAATCAGCAAAATAACTTTTCAATAAATTCTTGATTAACATTTTTGAGGTACTTTTAGGTTGGCAGTACACATAAGGCTCTCCCAGGTTAGGCCAAAGGGTGCTTTATATGCACACATATACTGTATCAACTCAAATGGGAATTTTCCTTCACATTAAATGAGCAATCAGAAATTGGGCAAATCAAATCAACTTGAGTCTTTTGGCTCCTTGAGTTGAAAAAGCAAACAAAAGACCTGCACTGAACACGTCCCTGAATCATCAAGGTAAGGCTAAACAGCATAAGGCCTATTAGGGAGTGTCCTCAGTTCCTTGAGTTTGTCAGTTAGCTGTCTCTATAAAGCAGGCATGGGCAAACTAAGGCCCGCGGGCCATATACGGCCCGTTGGGCTTTTGAATCCAGCCCGCCTAATATTGATACAAAATTGTCCAAATTATAGTAAAGAGCGCATTCATTTAGCCTTTTTCCTGCAATACCCGGCATTTCAGTTGATCCCACTCGATGGCGCACTCTAGACACAATTGACCTTTGCTGGAGTCTGGTCCCACTCGGCAACCCAGCAAGATCTCAGAACCAAATACGTCACGCTTACATTG